CATGCTTTTCAGGTGGTAAGTAAGATTTGTCTCAAGTGGGAGCATACTCGTGTCAAAACTGATTTAGTTAGAATCGGAAGTTTTTGCAAATGAAGAATTTTATAAGATTTTGGTTGTAAAATTTAACTCGCTTTATGATGTAAAACTTAAGGTTGTTATCTATTAATCGTCGCTGTGACACGCTTGCCTGGTGCACCTCGCGTTTCCGCTTTAGCGGGGTGTGACAGATTTGGTATCAGAGCTTCGGTTATAGAGAACGCTGGTTTTCCTTAAGAATCATCGACTATAACCAAAAATCTTCAAAATGGAATTTTAAAGAATTGGGAATCATATGAATTGAAAGCGGCTCACATTGTTATATGTTAATTAAACAGAGCCTGATCACCTGTGTTTAACTTACATATAATAAGAAGAACTAAATCGGCTATACTAGAGATATGCTCCCATAAAGAAATTATTATGAAAAGCACGAAATTATGCATTATACTCACAACGAATATCCATCACTTTAGATTAACTAGAAGCTCTGGTTGTGAAGTGAAGCAAGATAATATAGCGCTAAGACATCCTGAGGGTCAACTCTGTATCTAAATACTTGGTAGCTAGACATAGATAAAAGGATATAGTCTCTATAGCCTCTGTATTCAAAATTTGCACTGTACGTTAGGTATGAAATTGCCTGTACAAAGTGAGAATTGCGTTCTAGTTTTGAATAAGGACCACTATTCTATATAAGTGAAGAACGTCCAGAAGATCTGGTTGGTTTGATTTCAAGAGCTAGAAGCTCTGGTTAGAAGAACCAGAGGCTCTGGTCTATGAAAGGGAAATATTTTCTAAGTATGAAGAATCAGAGATTAATGGAAGATGATCCATCTGTTCACTATGTATGAGGAACCAAAAGGTTGATGGAAGGCGATTCATCRGTTTACTGTWTATGAGGAATYTGAAATTGATGGACCAAGAGATCCAATGGACTGCTATGAAGGTTGAACCAGAGGCCAATAAGTTAAAAGTCAAATGTAGTTTCAAGTATGGGAACCTCAACCAAGGGCTCTGGTCAACCAGAGGCTCTGGTCATCCAGAAGCTCTTATTTGTTTTCTACCATTTTGCTTCTACCATAACAACTCTCATCTTAACCTTAAGAGTTTTATTGATGATGATGATTAATGCTTGAATGCTTTTATTATATCAAGTTATTATATTGCCATGGATGCATGATTAGATAATTGGATTATACCATGCATAAGTCAATAAAGTAGCTACAATGATAAACAGTAAAAATAATTGAACTTCGATTTAGAATTTGTGCGTGAGAAATATGCCCCCAAAAAGAGAGAACCCGGAAGTCGCACGACTCGTGTGTGAGCAACTCTTAGCGGCACTCCCTAATATAGTCAGTCAAGTGGTTGTTGGTCTGAATGTTAACCAACCAAACAATCAAAGCCGAGGGTGGCTAGGGAATTCACTTATAAATCTTTTAGATCTTGCAACCCGAAAGAATTCTATGG